TTGAAAAAAGTAATTGATTACGTGACTACTTTAAGTGTGATGTGTTACTCCCAACACTACCTATCAACAAAATGGCAAAAAGTCCCCAAATATGCATCTATAGCACAAGCAGAATAAAAATAGTGTGACATCTCTGTTAGCCCACGATTTAGCAAATCAAGGTGGTCGGCCTACTTAGACAGCAAGTGCTGTGTTAGCAAAAGAAGCAGTCATACTCTGACATTGTGAATATGACAAGTGAGGAGCTGTCGCACGTCCACGAGCGAGAGTAATTGCATGCGCATGTCTCTGTGAACGCAGACTTCTGCTGTTTTAATAACCAGCGGAGTGATTTGTACATGTCAAAGAGAGTCTAGTCTGTATTCTGACCCAGCTCAGGCTTCATTACACAGCGGTGCCATAAATCCACACTCGCGCTCTCTTTAACAATGCTAAATCACTGAACAAATCATCCCCACTGACTAAAATTGATTTCCCCTCTTTTATGTCTAGTGACCATTTTAAAAAATCTAATCAACCTCATGTCAAGGCAGCTATATCATGTCTGAAAATCTCTCTACGCGCTGCTAGCAGCATGCGGTTTTGAGCAGAAACAACCACTGACATAAACTTGAACATTAAGCTGTTTATATATTCTCTGATGCATTTATCGGTCATATTTTAAAACAAAAAAGTAATATTACCACAGGTAAAGATTGCGGTTACACATACGGTAGTAGTAAGTTGTATAGCACCTTTCACAGATAAAAAAATCACAAGGTGCTTCATAATAAAATGTGATACAATAAAACAAAGTATAATACAATACATGAAAAAATTTAAAACTAAATGGAAAACAAAGAAACAAAACCATAAAAACCCCACATCTAACTAAATGCCTGCTTAAATAGCAGCGTCTTTAGTTGCTTTTTAAACGAATCAACAGAATTTATACAACGTAGAAAAGGAGGTAAACTACGGGTCGGAGTATGAAGCTGTATCAACTCAGAGATGTAAGAAGGAACTTGACCATGTAGGGCTCTAAAAGTAAGGACCAGGATTTTAAATTGAATTCTATGCTGGACAGGTAACCAGTGAAGTGCTGCGAATACAGGAGAGATGTGTGCTCTTTGTTAGTGTGAGTTAAAAGCCTTGCAGAGTTCAGCCTGGAGACGATAAAGCTCCTTCTTGCTCAAACAGGTAAAAAGACTGTTACAAAAATCTAGACAAGAGGAAATAAAAGCATGAATAATCATCTCTAACTCTCCCTTTGACACCAGTATTCTTAATTTGGAAATATTCCTTAGTTGGAAGAAGCAGTTTCTGACTAATTGTTTAGAGTGGTACTCTAAAGACATCGCAGAATCAAAAACAACACCTAAGGTCCTAATGCTTGACTGAACAGACGAGTCTAAGTCAACAATATGGTGTTTAATCTGAGGAATTTTACTTTCAGGGGCGATAATCAGTGTTTCTGTTTTCTCTGAGTTCAGAAGCAGGAAGTTGTCACATAACCACTGTTTAATACTAGTCAAGCAATTAGTTAAAGTCAATTTATGGAACCCAGTTTCCTTGAACGAGCAGTACAGTTGAACATCATCTGCATACATGGTAAGATATGTCACTGAATTGACTAATTATCTTCCCAAGAGGAAATATATACAAAAGGAACAGGATGGGTCCCAAAACAGAACCCTGAGGTACCCCACACGACAACCCTGCAGTTTCAGACATGAACTGATTTACATAAAGACTAAAGCTTCTACCCGAAAGGTAGGATGAAAACCATTTTAAAACTGACCCAGACATCCCAACCAGATCATGGAGTCTATTTATCATAATATTATGATCAACCGTCTCAAAAGCAGATGAAAGTTCCAAGACCTTTAATGCAAAGTGGAGTGCTTAAAACTCCTTAAAACATACTGCTTTTAATTGAATGGCAGAAGCCATATAATAAAAGACACTAACGTTTAATAAATTATTACATTTATTAATAATAATCACCAAAACAAAATCTTCCAGAAAGTGATATTGCTCATTAGCCTATAAGTTTGGGGTAGCTTATTCTATATTATATTATATTATATTATATTATATTATATTATATTATATTATATTATATTATATTATATTATATTATATTATATTATATTATATTATATCATATTATAAAACTATTAAAAACAAAACATTTTCATTGTTTAAAAAAATAAATGTTAACTGAAATAAAATAAAATTAAAAAAATATCAACATTTCTAATTTTAGTTTAACTTAAGTACTAAAATAATTAAAACTAAAACTATCATGGGTATTGTAATGTTTGAAGCAGATGTTACTAAATTACTAAATTAATGTAATAATTTTTTAATACTACACTTTATAAATAATATATGTATAGCCTAAAGTTTGCGGTAGCTTATTATATATTATATTATATTATATTATATTATATTATATTATATTATATTATTTAAGGTTATAAAACTAACAGTTTAATTACTTAAAAAACTAACACTATCATGGGCATTGTAATGTTTGAAGCAAATGTAGGAAGACCGGGAATTCATTACGAGCGATTCATTCATAAATCCGTCTGATTAATTTTTCATGCTGGACATACAACCAGAAGACAGAACACAAGGAGCGCAGCATGAAAAGGGGCGGGGCTACAGAAGAGCTATATTAATGATACCAAAATAACACTGATATATTCTCTAAAATACCTATATCTGCAGATTTTATACAGATTACAGAAATAAATACTGAAAATAATTTAATGAATTATTATTCTCATTGAATGTCTATACAAATAAAGATGTCTTATTTAAAAGAGGGGTATATAAAACCTACAAGAATGACAACGAATGTGTAAGTGGTGTTTATCCTGACACAAGCAGCAGCTTCTTCAAGCTCTGTGCGTTACGCTTGTCGACAGTAATAATCTGCTCTGTCTCCTCCAATGAACAAGCGACTGACAATTTCACCAGCAACATGCATCAATCCAATTAAGCCCTAATTGAGTGTTGCAAGGTCCATTGATTACAACTGCTGCAGAGTAATAGAATGAGCAAGCCTCAGAATTAGGCAGCCGGCCCTGGAGGTTTCAGGGTGTCAGGTCGTAATGTTGGGGCCAATGGGGGTGAATCTGCTTTGGAAGCACTGATTGCTTTCTTCTGTCAAGACTCCACAATCACTCAATGTCACAAAGATACGTATACCCTCAGAAACAGATGTTCTGGAGCTATATATGAAAGAGGATAGAGAATGTGTGTGTAAATGTGGCGGTGTGTCTTCTATTGGAAAGATTGGCTTGCCAGTTGCCACTCAAAAAGGGGTCGGGAACAGTGGTGTAGTCTACGTGATACGCAGGTATACGCCGTATACCCACTAGAAAATGTCAAGGATTTCCGTATACCCACTAGGAAAGGCCAAGGATCTCCGTATACCCACTTAAAAAAGCGCGAGTATTCGTAACAACATAGTTTTGTGACAGAACTTTCATTCATAAATTCACCCCGCCGTCTGTGTTTGCGCAGCGGATCGAATCGCGAAATCCAGTCACAAATGTAACTTAGCCTACTGTAAAGCGGAACGTCACGCAATTTGGCCATTTTTGAAAGAATAAATGAAAAGTAGGGATGTACAACTAATCAAATCTCGATATGTACTAGTGTGTAAACTAGTGTACTAGTGTGTAAAGCTCAAAAAGACTGCTATAGAAATAAACTCTGCATGTTCTGCGTGTTTCTGTGAATGAGCGCTACACACTGAAGCGCGCGTGACCCTCATGGTGTTTTCAGCGTCTATGAGGAGGACATGCACACATTTGAACTTCATCGCAGACCTTTTATGAGAGTCACTTTACAAGAATTTTACCATTTCATTTGATAAAACTATCGTCATTCATTCGTATCATATACACTCACAAACTTTAAAGTCTTCATGACAACCTGTCAAAATAAAAGTTTTGTATAACGAAGAAAATATAACAGAAATATATTACTATTGCACAGTAGAGTATACTTCAAGTAGGCCTAATAATAATAATAATAGTTTATTAAAACACACAGAAGCTCAAATGTCTTTAATTTACAACCCACCATAATAAAAGTTTGTAGAGAGAAAGAAAGTAACTCGAAGGAATTATTAAAGAAATTGCATAGTAAGATGTAGCCTAATTTTTAAAATAATAATAATAATCAAATCTATTAAAACATAATTTTAAAGGAATATCACACAAGTTTTCACACGGGTGGAGGGCGGAGTAATATCACAGTATACTCACTACAAAAAACTAGACTACACCACTGGTCGAGAATGATCCCGGGTTGTTTTATAGGCGAATGAATTGCACTTTGAGGAGAAAGACGGAGGACTGTCATCGGATGTGTGCAATTCGACCTCAAGATCTTGATCTGGATTAACTGCATTCACACTGTCCATTTGGTCTGAATCTGGATTAACCAGGTCCGCATTGTCCTTAAAAGGCATAAAATAAATACTATATTACAAAATGGTTTATTGTTTTTATAGAATCATTGAAAGTATAGTGACTTCCTTGAGATCTAGTCTGAAGGACTTATCACGCCTATATATATATAGAACATGCAGTGCATATTTATAAGTTTTGTTCTGTTGCTATAGCTAAAGTCAGAAGGTCAATCTGCTTGACGTAAAGAGTCAACAGATGTTGCAAGGTTACTTGTTCCCAGAGACAATTAAAAGGGACTATAAAGCTTCATCCAATGGTCTTTACAATGTGTTTGTGTTCAAATGCAATAAGATACAAATGTTTTGTATGGTTTGTAGTCCTGCACAAAAAAACTTTGATCCAACTATCCAATACTATGTGAATGCAGAGCAAAGCATGTATCAATTTCCCTCGGTGATGTTTCGTATCAGTGATCAAAGGCCACTGCTTTGAACTTCAGCCAAGAGGTGTCCTATCTTACAACAGCACTTTCCTTGTGTCTTTTTTCTTGCCGAAGTTCGTTACCAAGATATTGTGGCCACTGCAAAAAAAGGGTCAAAGTCTGCAGAGAGGCATGCAGTGTTCAGAAAAATCCTTATCCACCTTCAAAACATTGAACATATGGTTATTGCAAAAGTTAAAGTAGGTAACCCAAGTGTGTGATGATACCTATAAATACACTTTGCTGAAGAAACTTACGGAATATACTGCATTTAGAGGAATTTTGCACTGCATCTCTTTGATTCAAGGTAAGAAGTGATTTTTTTGATGTTTGAGTCAGTTTGATGGGAAAAATTGTTTCTGTTTTATTATTGGAAAAAAATAGTATTGTATTTTTTTAAACAAATTTGAGAAAGGAACAGATTGGGAATCGGGAAACTATTGGAAACTGTAAATAAAAAAATGTACTTTCTCACAACAAAAAATATAAAACAATTATAATAAATGGATATGTATATATTTTTTAAAAAAAATGCGGAGAGTAAATATAAAACTATTAGACAAAAAGCACGAAAAAAAAAAATATCAATGTCAATGAAACAGTTGCATAAATTATCGATTGTTTTGAGTATGAATGCACGTGGGCCACCATTGACCAAAGATGCACAATGTGATGATGGATCGTTCATAATTGTACTTAAAGGTCAGGTGAAAGAACGTGCGCGCGCACACGCCATCTGTGCGTCTTCATCTGATGTCAGGAGATGGTAAGTTATTAAAATAACTTGCTTTTCACACGCGCCATTGAAAAACACCCTAGTAAAAAACATTTAACTGCGTCATTCATTCAGAAAATTCATTCCGTTGCTCATCTTTCGATGTTAATTAACATTAAGCTAACCAATGCAATGCATATAACATCCTTAAACACTCGTTAACAAACAAAAGCAATTGCATCATTTGGGCGTGTAACAAAACCACTTGCACATGCGCCTCAAGAAGAACTAACGTTAGTTAATGGCGTTTAACTATTTCACACACGCTGAACTTTGGCGTCACACCCTTTTGTGCTACAAACTTGAATGATGATTGAGCTTGTACACTTACTATTGTCGACGATGAAACGTTGAGAAAACCATATGCATGGTGAAGGTGAGACCTGAGCCATTTCTCCATATTTGGGGGTGGGCTTTTTTTTCTGTGCCTTTGGCCTGCTAACCTGAAAGAACACCTTAGCAACTGCGTAGCAACTTACTAAAAGCCTCTCAGAACACCTTAGCAACACCCTGGTATTGTGGCAACAGGTAGATTAGCATTGAAAATTGCATTTTCACAGGAGACGAGTCCATAACAATACTATGATAGTTTGTAATGTAGCCTATAACACATATTTTGTAATACACAGAAAATGTAAAAAAAATAGAAAATTAAATATAACATGCTATTTGAATGAAAAATGTAATGTGGCAGATTCATTTGTGTAGCTTTTCTCAATACACATTGTTTCAAAGCAGCTTTACAGAAAATTGTGCTGTTAAATAATATCTTCATGCCTTATATTCACGTTTAGCAGATTAGAGCTTAGGTATAGTTTACATTTTGGAATGATATAAAGAACCAAGTAAAGATTTGATATATACTAGCTAAATATCCTTTTATCGGCTTAGGACAGGTTTACTGACTTTAAAATGACACATTTTTCTTATTTTTTCATTTCATTTCATTTTATTTTATATTTTATACATTTCCAAAAAACTGAGTAATGATAGCAAATCATGATGCACTTGATGTAAGCTAAAGCCTATTGGCTATTTTAAAAGGGGGAGGGGCATTCAGATATTTACCACGCCCATATTTTCTGTTTCAGATAGTAAATAAGGATGGTTCAAGTCCCCCTGGGAAGTTTGTATTTATGAGTTGGGAAGTCTTAATTACGTTATCAGGTGTGTCAAATCACTGTGGTCAGTGAAAGATGGGCAGTGCCTTTTCTACAAAAAAAAATACAGCATTCAAGTTCTTTGTTGTCAGGAAGAACTTGAACCAGAGAAGACACCAGGTTTATTCTTGCCTATTTATTGGGAAAATCTTATTAAAGCCAAAATGATATTTAGCGTCTCATTCATTGACAACCATAGAAACATTCACTGCGCTATGTAGATAGTCATCTTGCTGACAATTCTGGAATTTCGGTCAAATGCAGGCTATTTTCGCTATGTATGTAACATACAGTACGCCTCAAATGATTATTCATATATGTAAATATGTTGCTATGTGCGGGGCCACAAAAGCTATGTGGCCCCGTTTTATGATTTTGTTAAGAAAAAGACAGTTATATTGTTTGGAATATGAGAGGAATGATTGTTTAGATGTGCCATTTTCAGTTCTCATCGTTCACATCTCTTATACTTTTATCTTAATCAACTCCAACAACAACTCTAAGTTAGAAATTCACTGTCAGCTAAATGCAATGGCAGTCTCGGTTGTCACCTGACCTTCATTATCCTCTAAAAGCTTTACTGTCGATGGCACGGTCATGTTAGCACCATGGAGACAGTTTTCTCTGTAGGTTTTCCCCAGAGCCCTTGAGTGATGGTGGCTGATATGAAGTCATTACATGCAGCATCCATCTTGTGTTGTGTGCTCCATGGTGTTGCCGCCTTAATCAGTTTCACCCTTGTTAAGAGCTCCTGTGGACACTGACAGGATCCCATTTAGGTTTAACCATGCCAGAATGACTCTTCTAAGCACACTACACCATTTCAAAGGCCACCCACAATGGCGGTCCGTGATATTGCAGTGTAATTCTGTCTGGGTTATTTGTTACAATAGCACCAGTATGTAATATGGTGTGAATGGTGCGGTGGGAGGGATATTACACAGATCAAGAATCTACATGTGTCAGCCTGACTCACTATGGAAATAAATATAGCTGTGAGATAACTTCATGTCTCCAGTGAATGGTGCGCTATATCTTTTTTTGGAATAGTTACATTGGGTTCTTTGAAATAGGAGAGGACAGATAGGAAGTCTAGGAAAGGAACTAGCCTCGTATATCTCTCAGGTAGATCAGGTAGGTTTCGGAATCCATTGTCAATGTTATTTGGAAACTAGATGCGTCAGAACCTTACACACAAAGGCGTTTAATGGAAAATACCGTTGACCTTCTCCCAACCAGATATAAGCAAACTTTCAGCCACATTTCCATGATGTAATCAGAGCTCTTTAAAGCATTCTTTGTTCTGCGACTGTTATTAGTCAATCCTGCTTTGTTTTTTTCCTGATGGACGAATGTGGTTTGAGAAGTTCTCAGCATTGTTAGAAATGGATTTGTAAATTGCATTTGACTGTAATCCCTGCATAATCAGTTTAATATGCAGCTGAAGGGTCCCTCATGCTTGTGAAGGGGGCGTGGTCAGTTGGTGGGCGGGGAAATGGGTGTGGCAACACACCTTGCATCATAGCAGAGCATTCATTCATAGAAGAGCTTAACTGCCTTGAAACAATTGCACAGTGAACTCTCTTTGCTGTGCATTAATGGCAAAATGTAATGATATAATTAAAAATGAAATGTGGAGAATGTATCTAGTCTGGTCTTCAGTTTCATTTATATGGCTGGAGCTCTTTGTATTGGATATAGGAGGTAACTAAATATTATATAATACATTTTGTGTGCTTATTCAAATCTGACAAAGTGGTCGGAGTTTGTACACTCAAAGTATATTTTTTGCCTCTTGTTCAGTTTAGGCTAATTAATTAGAATAAGTTAAAGTAACACGATTTTTTATACATTGTCACAACTTAATTTAACTGTTCAATCAACCTAATATATTTAAAACTGACGTTTACTTATTCACTGTAAAAAAGGATTCCTGTGATTATTTATCACAACTTAAAATTCAACATTAGAATAAGAAATAATGTGTTGTTTCTACTTAAAGTATGTGCTTGACTTAAAATATTAAGTTTAGTTAACTTTAGTTTAATTAAGTTACCAAAGTTAATTAAGTTAACAAATTTTAAGTTGTTATAACTAATTGCAGCAACATTAAAAAAAAAAAAAAAAACTATCTGGGTAGTGGATCTGTAGTTCCCAGCATGCTTTGCAAGGGACCGCTTTAGGAGAGTAAATTTAGCGATTAAAGTATTATTTAATGTGTTTTTTCAGTAAAGGGAAATATGTTGTTAGTTATAATGTAAATGTTAAATGTTCAGTAATGTTGGACATTTAGAGGAGTTTCTAAATTCAATTAAACTTAGTCTAACTCGCCTGAGTTATTTTTTTAGCGTGCGCGTGTTCATATAGATCTTATTAGCTCTCTGGTCTCTAATAATATGATCTGAAAAATGACAACAGTGGATTTATCCATCTTAAAGATTTAGTTCACCCAAAAATAAAAGTCCCACTCTGACTTTCATTTATGTTCGAGATGCAAATTAAGACATTCTTAATGAAACCTGACAGATTTCTGATGCTCAATGCAACCAAAACATTAACGCTTCAAAAAGTTCATAAAGACTTTAGTAGAGGTAGTAGTGCTTTAGTAGAATGGAATATTAATATTATATCATAAGTTTTTTTTTTTTTTTTTGTAAAACCTAAAATGGTGCTAGCTTATTTTTTACAGTGAAGTTCTGGCAACCACAGCTGCTGTTATTTTACTGTAAATTTCACAGTTTTTTTACAGTGTGATTCAGAAAGTGTTACACACTGCACCTGACTCGATTCTTCACTTGCCTGTCAATTCATCGTGTGTGTGTGGTTAATGGAAATGATTTCCTTATGCCTCACACACTTTGAGTCACCTCTGGGAATCTCCACAGCCTGATAACTGAAGCTCACACACATGAATTTCCCTGTTATCACGCTGGAATATGTCCGCGTTCGGCCCACACACACTCCAGCCTGCTTTGGCTGAGTTTTATAAGTCCAGCGCTCATTCAACCTCTCAATACCAGCCACAGGACGGCCCTTGGAAGTCCACCTAATCGCTCTGAACTACAGGTGGCAGGAGAGATCGGACGCCCCATCTGGAAATCAGGAAAACTTCTCTCTGGATTGCTTTCACCCCCTCTCTCTCTCTCTCTCTCTCTCTCTCGCTCTCCATTGCTTTCCTCTCTCTCTCCTGGTTTCCAGTGAGGTGGTAATCCCCAATCTGAAAAGGAGATCCAAGCTGAAGTAAAGACGTTTTGGGTTGGCATGCTCCAGAAAGGGACCCGTCACATTGCTCCTCACAGCTCTCGGTCGCAGTGGTAACGGCACCTGAACAAGGGGGTTGAAGAACAGAACACAAACCAGCAGTTTCCAGCTGCCAAACTTTGGAGGAAACTTTTTTTTTTTTTTTTTTTTTAAACCTGAATGAATTTGTGTCCCACGGGAGTGTGAAAAAGTGATTTGGGCAGTTCTCTAAGTTATTGGAGCTCTCTGAAACTTCTGTCATCTGTAGGTTGGCACCATGAGTGCTGAAACGGGGAAAGACTACGATTACTCAGAATGGTACGAAAATGCAGTGCCAACCAAACCTCCTGTCGAGTAAGTATTCATAATTTGGTGTTTTATTGATGTTTCTTTAGGGTCAATTTTAAACTCGATCATTTAAAGTGTTGTGATTTCATTATATGTGGGAAAAAAATCCAATTTGAATGTATTTCACTTACGTTTGTAATACATTTTTGCATCATTATAACTGAACATGAAAAATGTGTAATTTAAAAAGTAAATAAATTCATACTTCTATTCATCAAGGATGCATTAAATTGATCAAAAGTGACAGTAAAGACATTTAAAATGCTACAAAAGATTTCTATTTCAAATAAATGCTGTTCTTTTGAACTTTGCAGTCATCAAAGAATCAAGTTTTTCGTGTTTCCACAAAAATATTAAGCAGCGCAACTGTTTGCATCATTCATAACGATAATCAGAAATCAGCATATTAGAATGATTTCTGAAGGATCATGTGACACTAAAGACTGGAGTAATGATGCTGAAAATTCAGCTTTGACATCACGGGAATAAATTTTAAATTTTAAAAACATTCAAATAGAACGAAGATATTTCAATAATAAAAATTACTGTGTTTTTGATCAAATAAATGCAGCCTTGGTGAGCAGAAGAGACTTCTTTCACTCTCACTGACCCTATATTTTTGTACAGTAGTGTATATGTAGTTATTAATTTTAAATATAATATTTATAAAAATTTATACTAAATTACACATACATGTATTGTCTGTTATTATAATTTCCATTTCTTATATAAAATAAAGGTGCATTCATGGGTCCGCTGGGTTTAGACATTAACTTAGTTTTGATTTTAGCTTGATAACATGGGTAAGGTAATCAGATATGCATTAGATATCATCTTTATTGCTGCTTGTCGTATAGTCTTGTTGCCATCCCATAATGCACTACCCAGAACATTGATATGGTTCCAAGTCTACAGGTGTGCAAACATATCTGATTATATTTCAGCTGAAAGTGATATACACATCCATCACTGCGATCCATGCCGAGATTTTCTTTTTGATCTCATCTTTGATTCTTTTCACATATGCAAGAGACTTTTCGGCAACAAGACACCAAACTGTGAAGATAGGGTTACTTCAATGCGTCACATATTAGCTTCGTCCAAGACTTCCCCTGTTAGTAAATCAAATGAAATAAGGGCCTTTTCATTCATCTAGAGGTTTCCTAATTCCATCCCAGCATTCCAGTTTACTCGGAAGTGCGATCGGATCCGTTCGCTGGCGTTCCACGTCAGTCACATTACCTACGACAATCGGTTTAAATGAATAATCTTCACTTGAAGAGGTTCGGTAAAAGTGCTCTTGTTAGTAATGGTCTGTTGCTTAGGAAAGGAGGGAGCGTGTGCAGGCTGAGGAATCGGCCTGGGTCTCACCAGCTTATGATAAATACTGTGTTTGTGACATTTTCAGAGTTATCCAACCATGTGACCCCACAGCTGAAGAAGGCCTCTTCCACATATGCATCGCTGCAATATCTGTGAGTTCCCTTTAAATAATAAATAGAATTTTTATTTATTTATTATTATTATTATAATCATATTAATATTTTTTATTAAAAAAAAACATCCATGGATTGGAATATCATAGAAATTTGGGGTTGGGCTCTTTTGAATTATGCCTATACATAACCACCCATAACACCATAGCAACGACTTAGCAACAACCCAGAACACCCTTGCAACCTCTCACAACACCCTAGAAACGTCCTAGCAACCATCCAGAACACCCTAGCAACACTATATTGGCATAGTCATATATATCGGCCATCCTAATCCCCAGTGTTATTTTAGTATTAATATATACTATATAGTTTCTATAGTGATATACTATTATAGTTTTTATTTGTATTTTGAATGGTTTTTAGTTTTATATTTTCTGTTTTTATTTGAGTTTTTTTGTTGTAGATGAAATGTTATTAATTTGTCATTTTGTTTTCTTTTAATTATGTATGAATAGTTTATTAGTGCTGTCAAATCGATTAATCACATCTAATCTAAAAGTTTGTAAATGTATAATATTAATGTGTGTGTATATATATATAAAATCTCACACAAACTTTTGTTAGATGTGATTAATAGTTTTTATTAATTTTTCTTTCAGTTTTAGTACATCATTAAACTAAATGAAAATGAGAAATTTGCTTTGGAAACTAGCTGAAATAAAATAATTTTAAGTGTTTTTGTCTTATGTTATTTCAGTAACAAAAGTGTTTTTTTTAATGCTTTTAGTTTTAGTTAACTATAATAGCCCTGCTAATTCCTATATTTTGATATGAGCATTTGCCATTGAATACTCTATATAAGTTGACCATTGGCAAAGTACCGTAGTATTTCCACCTGACACCATGGTACTGTCTTAGCACTTGTGTAAAGAAACCATTTAAAAAGTATACAATGCATTTGTTGTCATTCGTTTTGTAACTGCCAGACTTCCCACTGAGTTGCTAGCCTTTTGCTTTCTTTGATATGATACAAAAAGCCACATGCTAATTGACTATGATGAACCCATGTGGACTCGGACGTCACCTTAGGCCGTGACGCTTCCTAAAAGTGTTACAGGTCACTTCAGGTCACTGACCCCCAGGCACTTACTCACACCAGACACTGAGACAGCTCTGCCCTTGTTTCATGGGGGTCTGGGCTTCCATTTGAACCAAGAAGCTGTGATGCAGAAGAGGTTAAGAAGAGGTGGACGTCACAGCAGCGCCAGGCTCTGGTGGGCCATTAGAGAAAGTCAGGGGGGGGGGTGTAAGACTGACAGATTGTCCTCTCTTTATGTCCAAAGCTGGTGGTCATGCTGGTTCTTGCCATCCTGGCCAGACGACAGAAGTTGGGTGTCAATCAGAGGGGACTTACGGGTTTACTCAGGTCAGTTTGACATCTGCCATGTAAACAAACACCCTAGCAACACCCTGGCAACCACCAACAAATCTAATTTTCTGTTTTTATTTCAGCCCAGTAAACTTTTTAGACCACACACAACACAAGGGTCTTGCCGTAGCTGTGTATGGAGTCCTCTTCTGCAAGCTGGTCGGAATGGTCCTCAGTCACCATCCACTTCCTTTCACTAAAGACACCGTGAACAAAGGTACGACGGACAGATGTCTTACTTTAAGAAGTGGTAAAATGCATTTAGTATATATGAATATTGATAGTAGTGGCCAAAAGTGATTTCCGGTCTAGGAAAACTGACATCTTCACTCTTTATTGAAATATTTTTAAACATGTGTAAAAGATTTTTGTAAAGCATATTGTAGTTGTGGAAGAATTGAAAAATGAAACATGCCAAATTGCGTGGACATGATTTTTGGCCAGGCTGTCATACAAAGAGATTATGAATTTCCTGTGAGCTTTTTGCATTTTTCATAGTAAACAATTTTGTCAGATAAACACCTTAACCAAGTTTAGTGTTTAGTTCTTCCCTCATATTGAAGAAAAAATATACAATATTTTCCTCATATTTTGATGTTTTAATCAGACTTGTAGGGTCATTAGCTCTTTCCCCACCAATTTTTTTATTTTTTTTAGTTGCCAGCCACCGCCTGGACTTTTGATCATTTTCACAAACATTTCATGGCCTCCAGAATATTTTGTTTTATGAATATCTGAATATGCAATGTTCTCTGGTTGCTGGGTCGATTCCCACACGGAGCTAACCTTGATCCGCCAACATTTTGCACTTATCCGTACTTTTTTAAAGATTCAAAAAGAAGATTCTTTTTGATCATAATGTAAATCAATGCTGTTAGAAAGATTTCAGGCTACCAAAGTGTTTGGGAAATGCATTGGTTTGCAGGGATAGGGGGGAATAGTGTCTCACCCTGCACTGGTGCTATCGAATGAACATTGAACACTCTCTCTATTCACAAGATGGCACCTATCCAAAGTAGGCTCAGTTCACACAAGAGGATGAAAAGTAGCACCCTACCTGATCTTTTCACCCCTCTGTACTGCTAGTCCTTCTTAGTTGTGTTTTGTAATTGGATTATCGCCTGCATTTTTTGTTTCTTTAGCAAACAGGGCCTCAGACATTATACATAATTCTAGATTGTGTAACTATTTGGTGCTTTAATAGGGACATTTTGAGACATAAGTCTGTTAGTGTCGATGGGACACTATTGTTATTCTCCTCATTCTCAATCACGTGACATGTTTTGCTGTTTCCGAAATTTAAAAAATCATATGAGCAAGTAGTCATTTTACTCAAAGTAACTTGCAGTACACAATCCTCCTGGAGCAATCTGAGGTTAAAAGAACGATTCTGCCATCATTTACTCCCCTCCCATCGTTCCAAATCTGAGTTTCCTTCTTGAGTTGAACACAAAAGAAGAAATGCTAAAGAATAATGAATGTTAATTGAGAATCAGAGCAGCGTGCTCAAAAAATGAGATAAAAGTACTGTAACTATTAAATACTTAGAAAATGGTAGTTTTGACCAATATTTTGTCTTTTTTTATTGATATTCAGACTTTTAACAGTTATTGGTTCTTTAAAAATGAGTGTTAAATGACTGGTACCATTTGGTATACTGTAAAAAAAAAAGTTTAAAAATTGCTGCCTTAAGTTGATTTTACTTACAAATTTAAGTAATTTCAACTTAAGACATTTAAACTGACTTAAAAAAATTGTTGAATCTTGTATAACTTATAAAAAAGTTAAAATTTGTTTAACTTATTTTGATGAGTTAAAGCAATTTAAAAACATGTTAGTTATCATAACTTATTGATCATGAGCTCTAAAGAATAAATCTGTGAGCATCTAGATTACAAAAAATAGCATAAATAACAAAAACAGTAATAATTTCTAATACGACTGTAACGCAGTATTTCAAGTCTTCTGAAGCAATTCAATAGTTTTGTATGAGGAACAGGACCCAAATTGAAGTCAATTGACACTAAAAATAAGTTTATGTAATTTGAATTTTGAATTTTAAAATGCATTTCATATATTAACGTTTTATTATAAATATCGTCTGATCATCGTTATCGACAAAATCCCAGAAAATATCAATATTTTTGTCAATATCACACCCATAGATGTGTATCATTATATTGGATCCGTGCATTCGGTCTTAAAGTGACAGCAGCCTATAAATACCTGCTGCTAAGTCATTAATGTTAATCAATTAACATAACAACAGTGTTATTTTACATTTAGGCCTAATTATTACATGTCTGTACCTGAATCCACTATTTTGTTCTTTGTTTCTGTAGAGTTCTGGATGATCCTGGCTCTTTTGTACTATCCCGCTTTATACTACCCTCTTCTGGCCTGTGGTACGCTGCATAACAAGGTCGGTTACGTTCTGGGAAGCCTGCTGTCGTGGACACACTTCGGAGTTCTGGTCTGGCAGAAGGTGGACTGTCCCAAAACGCCACAGGTACAAGTTATTATATGTATCTAAAACATTGCCTGAGTATTTACAGCACATTTTATCTGGGTTCTAAGTTTAGTTTCCCTCTGTGTTTATAGAGGATGTTGAATAAGACTCACAGATAAGTTTATTAACCTAAACCGGTTTTGTTCCCATTGTCCTCGTGTCTCCTAAATGAATGGTCAAACTGCAAAACGATTTGTTCTGCTTCTTGGGATCTCACCATGGAGCTTCCCTTCAGTTAATCACTTTAGTTTCTGTCAGAACTAAAGAAAAAGCACCAGTAGCAAGAAAACAAAGGGAGCGAACTGCAAAAACTGGCTGGCTGGGTTCATGCTGGAAGCCATTGAATTATTTTAGGGCAAAATAAAGAAAGCCTTGTTTGGGTTGTATAAATTCTGAGTACAATTCCATGATTGGTTTGCACAGAATATGTGTGGAAGATATTGTGGGTAATATAGCCAAAGAAATGGCTGTGAACATTTGATGCTGTTTGAAATTGATTGTCTGTTCTTTCTCCATGTCTGCAGATCTATAAGTACTTTGCGCTGTTCAGCAGTCTTCCTCAGATTGCCTGTCTGGCCTTTCTTAGTTTCCAGTACCCGCTACTTCTGTTCAAGGGCTTACAGAATACAGAGAAGTCCAATGCCTCTGAGGTGAGAATTTGTAGTTCCAAAGGGAAATGTCTAAAATGTCAGGATGATGCAACTGTTCTCATATCATAATAAAGAAGAAAAAGCTATATTAAAAGGATAAAATTCTTAATAAAACTCATTACTTTATGAAGGCATAGTCTTGTATTATTGTTTCATTTATATTTTTCATTATTGTACATTGTTTCTTTATATATATATAACATATACAATTTTGTAAAATGTTATGTTGTTCAATTCACCCAAAATGAATAATTATGAATTAATAAGAATTATACAACTATTCTTATATCATAATAAAGAATAAACTATATGTTAAAAGGATGAAATTCTTAATAAAACGTATTATGTTATGAAGGCATAATCTTTTATTATCGTTTCATATATATATTTTTTATTATTATTGTTTCTTAAAACAAAATGAAATTATGACAATGAAATTTAACATTACTCTGTAATGTTAAATTTGATTTAAACTGTAATATTTCAAATCTTTTTAATATAACTGCTTAATATATGAAAAATAAGGTTAGTTCATGTTGTAAAATCCTAATAAAGAATATAGATATAGAGATGGATGGATGGATGAAATTTAAAAAAAAATACTTAAAATGAAGGCATAATCTTTTATTAATGTTTTCTTTAATTGCTTTACTCTGCTTATTAATATTTGAAAAACAAGGTTAGTTCAGGTTGTAAAATGTCGTTGTTCAACTCCCTCATGTGATATGTGATATTTGAAATATGTGAAAATGTTTTTTAAATATATACTTTTTACCTTTAAAAATATATTGAAACATTTTTTTAAATGACAATATGTGTACGCTCACATGTACCCAAGATGTAAGGAAATATATTATCGTGTTTTTTTTGTTACATCACATGACATTTTTAGAGTCATTAAATTGAAACTTTTCTTGAACATGGTGTAAAAGTTTTCAAAACCACATGAAAACAAAGAATACATTTCTTTAAAAAAAACTTGCCTCGTGTTTTGCCTCTAGATTTTTTAAATCCTTTCCTTTTCTTTATCATGGACACTCTTATTTGTCACTGATCCATCATTTTTCCATGCTGTACTGCATGTGACCCTGTCAGAACAAACCTGTGACCCATTTTCGGGTCATGACCTGCCAGTTAAGCACCACTGCGTTAATTCATAATGAGGGACTTAGCAACATGGAAAGGCAAGAGGGGAGTTTGTAAACTCGGCACCTGCATTCCAGAGGTCTAATCATTGTAAGCAGCTCAATGGGATTGGGTTATGTTTGACTCACAGAGGACATTACACAAACAGCGTGCTGTTTTCCCACAGGAACCGCACAATGCCAGTGTTATTCAGCTATAATCGCAATGACGAATACGTTTGGATGGAATAAGAGGAACAATTCCTTCGCAAAGCGTCTAAACTGCGAGTAAATGATTTGACAAATCTAAAACAATTTTCAGAATTGTCAATTTGTCGGAAGCACTTTATTTTACAGTTTTGCTTCCCACGTACATACTAACTAGGTACTAACCCTGAACCTACCCTTAAACCTACCATTAACCCATGTAGTCACCTTGTATTACCCAGTACTTTCTTAGGTAAGTGCACTGTAAGTACAAGTACTGTCAAAAAAAGCGCAACCGATTAGTCCATAATGCAAGCAAAGTATAGGTCACGTCAAACTGTATGACATGCACTGTTTTAGATTTGATAGATTTCATACAGAATGATGGTCTCTATCAAATTATTCGTCTTTTTTAATTATTTTCTTAATCTGTTTTGCAGGACCTCAGTAGCAGTTATTACCGAGATTATGTAAAGAAGATTTTCAAGAAGAAAAAGCTCACCAAAATCAGGTGAGGCCCACATATGTGGACACCTTTATTTATTAACCCAAAGCTTCGAGAAGCTTAAAACTGCAGAAATTATACTACCGTAGTAACTCATGACACGACTTTCACAGTGAGCTGACGCTTTCCTCGAATATTGCCCCACATTATTATATTATAAGATACACATTTAATTATGAGATAAGTTGGGGGTTGGGGGGTTAAATCCCATAGAAACTGAAAATAATATTAATAAAAAACCTTCTATAATATTTAGTTTGACCTCCTGAGGTTAACATTTCCTGAAGGTTCATTTTCAAAAGGTACATTTTGACCTGAAGAATAGTTTTTAAGTATTCCAGGCCTTGTTCTGTTGCTTATTAATGGAAAGTGCCATCAGTTATAATACTGATGGCATGTAAATTAATCTTGTGGAACCTTTTCGGTAATGGAATGGATTACAATTACAAGAAAGGAAAGGTGAGTTTTTTTCCCTATTATAGCAAGCAGCACACTTTACAATAGCTGTGCAGATGGGATATTGTGCATGGACTACTTCCTGATTTCCATTGACGGGCGATGAATCACACCTACTGTAAATTGACTTATGCAAAGAGTCATAGATGGTGATCAGCCACTGTCTTGCAGTCTTTAGAGTCTGACTCGTGAGCTAATGCCATTGAGTCTGTACGGCACAGATGCTGATCTTCTTCATGCAAAAATATACTGGGTGTCTGGAACGTCATTGAAAATAGTCCCGTGAGCCACGTGACCATGTTTCCTGTTCCATGGAAACTTCTTTGTGTCTACGTACATAGGAGAGCGGCCTCTAGAGGCGAAGTAAAAACTATCACTGACGCCTCGTGGAGTTTGTTTTGACACGTGAGGCTGCGCGCCTCACCGAGCGGGACACTTCAGATGCGGATTTAAAACAGTCAATGAAACTGTATGTTATACAGTACACTACCGTACGCGTTTTCATATCATTATAAAGTAATTTATTTGTTGACTAGATGCTGCACTAGTGGAGAAAAAACAGTAGTATGGTTGCCTTCGAGGCTGAAAGGACGCTAACATTAGTAGTACCTCAAGCGGTTGAAACAATATGACAAAAACACACACCCAAATGTTTAATGTAACGATTGTTACCATCTATTTGCATTAGTTTATATCCAACTGTTTGCTTTTATGCAGTCGTTATGCAGCAAAGTTACATATATAAAGCTATAACATGAGAAAGCAAACTGTATCATCATGCAGCCGACAGAAACGTATAAACCAATCAGAAACGCATTTGATTTCAATTATTTTTTTATTGTCACTAATACATATTTTGCTATTTTGATTAGATAATCAAATGTTCTAAAATAGAAGCAAATAAAGTGTGAGAGTAAACATATACATATGTATATCTTTGTGTCCATATTTAAAGACAGTCTTTAAGCATGAATGTTTGGATTTATGTGAAATGGTAACACTTTACAATAACAGTCCTAACTAAGGTTAATAAAAGTATCGTTCATTGCTAATTTCAACATTTACTAATACGTTTTTACATTTTTAAAGTTTCTCTTATATTCTCTTTATATTTCTATAGCATCGCTGTCGAAGAGTAATTCGCCTTTGGCTAAGCCCCGCCCCCCTTAGTTACTGTTGCTACGTCCGACAAACAAACTTCATCTGGGCTCTGGTATCAACATGGCTTATGCTGTGACAGCTCTTCCTGCTGAAATTTTATCAAACTTTTATAAAGCAGCAAATAAAGTGTCCGATAGAAGTAGGCAGAAGGGGCTTCAATATACGTTCGAAGGCTATATTCACGACATACAGGCGAAACGCAAGGAACAACAAGGCATCAAAATAGAGGCAAAAGCATACCGGTCACAGTCAAAAAATGAACCACCGCATATCCTACTAATCGAGACGGAGGCTGGGTCTAACAATATCAAGGAGCAACACTGTTCATGCAAAGCTGGGTAGGTCTCTATTCACTTTTATAATCGTTATTACAAAGCAAATGGACTACGCGAGTATAACGTTGCTAGACGACACTTGTCAGGATTTGACTTAAAATCGGACGAAAAAAATGGACACCCCCCTGCAACCTCTCTGGGAAACGCGTATCTGTGTTACAAATGCCCCAGGCACAACGTTTAACCATATTTTTGATAAAACTACGACGGTAATAGCCTACCGAGACCAAAAATATGAGACGCCTGTGTTAAAGTCAATGGAGCTGTGAAAAATGTCGGACCACTGTGGGAGCTCGTTCTTGGCTGCGCTGTGATTGGTCAATCTACATTCTAGGGTGTGGCTTAGCCAAAGGCGAATTAGCTGGTCAAGTGGATTTACTTATTGTAGAATTAACTAAAGTTATCATGGCCAATGTAATGGAGCGGATGTCATAACAAATGTCAGTAGACCGGGATGATTTTAAATGAGCGGGTCATTCATAAATCTGTAAGATCTTTCCTTCGTGCTGTGGAAATACAAACTGGAAGACAGAACGCAATGAGCGCAGTGTTGAAAAGGGGCGGAGCTACATAAGATCTATAAGGTATATGTCAACACATTTCAGATATGACTTAAATACCTAGAAGCCATGGGTTTGAAGATCAGGACTGGTTGTTCAAAGGTTGTAGGTTTGAATCCCATTTAAAGCCATTGTGCAAAGTAATACGTGTACTGTAAGTCAGTTTAGATAAAAGCATCTAATTGTGCATTCGAAAGACTGTGATGGGATATTATTATAGAATTCTATTGAATTAAGTGTTGTTGTTGTTGTTTATGAACATTTATCTCTTGTTTTGCAGTTCCAGCGCAACAAAACCCAAACTATTAGAAAGACTCCGAGATGCTGCCAAGTCTTACATCTATACACCCGAGGATGGTAATTATTACATTTGAATGTTTTTAATAAACCTAAAGTTGAAACCAAATATTTTGTCCAAAAAATATACACTATCATTCAAAAGTTTGGAGTCAGTAAGAGTTTTTTTTTTTTTTTTGTCTTTCTTTTCCATCAGTTTTTAGGTTCCCTTTGAAACTAGCGATCTCTTTGGTTGTGGCATTCATTGCACTTTATCAGGTAAACACTTTAAGAAACGAGCCCGTTTTTGAGTTATTTCTGTCTATAAGGAATAATTAATGCGCTTTTCTTTCGTTTAACTTGGGAAAAGTAGCTTATTCCAACGCATTTTGCATTCTTTGGAATCTCCGAATCTCTTAGATGGCGCTCTTGCTGGTCTCAGGAGTGCTGCCCACCCTACACATCGTCCGTAGAGGAGTGGATGAAAACATTGCCTTCCTGCTGGCTGGTTTCAATATCATCTTGTCAGATGACCGTCAGGAGGTGGTCAGGATTGTAATGTACTATTTGTGGTGTGTTGAAAGTGAGTCAGTCCTTTTTATACTTCTTATACTTTGGCCTACACAGAATATGTGCCCGCAGAATTCAAGCAGAACATCCGTCATTTATTACATTCTACATACTTCTATCCCCTTGTATAAGCAAACTGGTTTTTTAAATGTATTACTATAATACAAATAAGTGTGCAGATTTTTATGTGGTCCTAGCTATTACCCTTTTTTCAATGTGGTATTAGTTTAGTGCCACTATTAGGCTTTTTCAGATATGACTGTTTCATGTAGTGTGTAATACAACTGTTTGTGAATGTAAAAGGTCTGCAAAGTTTCAAACATCAAAGTGCAGATACATGGAGTTATTGTCTCCCAAAAGAAATAACCGCTTCTGACCAATCAAAGCGGAGTAGACCAATCACAACGGACTGGGTCATCTGACCAATCAGAGCAGAGTAGACCAATCACAACGGACTGGGTCATTTGACCAATCAGAGTAGACCAATCACAACGGACTGGGTCATCTGTCCAATCAGAGCAGAGTAGACCAATCACAACAGACTGGGCCATCTGACCAATCAGAGTAGACCAATCACAACGGACTGGGTCATCTGTCCAATCAGAGCAGAGTAGACCAATCACAACAGACTGGGCCATCTATCCAATCAGAGTAGAGTAGACCAATCACAACAGACTGGGCCATCTATCCAATCAGAGTAGAGTAGACCAATCACAACAGACTGGGCCATCTGACCAATCAGAGCAGAGTAGACCAATCACAACAGACTGGGCCATCTATCCAATCAGAGTAGAGTAGACCAATCACAACAGACTGGGCCATCTATCCAATCAGAGTAGAGTAGACCAATCACAACAGACTGGGCCATCTGACCAATCAGAGCAGAGTAGACCAATCACAACAGACTGGGCCATCTGACCAATTAGAGCAGAGTAGACCAATCACAACAGACTGGGCCATCTGACCAATCAGAGCAGAGTAGACCAATCACAACGGACTGGGTCATCTGTCCAATCAGAGCAGAGTAGACCAATCACAACAGACTGGGCCATCTGACCAATCAGAGTAGACCAATCACAACGGACTGGGTCATCTGTCCAATCAGAGCAGAGTAGACCAATCACAACAGACTGGGCCATCTGACCAATCAAAGCAGAGTAGACCAATCACAACAGACTGGGCCATCTATCCAATCAGAGTAGAGTAGACCAATCACAACAGACTGGGCCATCTATCCAATCAGAGCAGCGTAGACCAATCACAACAGACTGGGCCATCTGACCAATCAGAGCAGAGTAGACCAATCACAACAGACTGGGTCATCTGACCAATCAGAGCAGAGTAGACCAATCACAACAGACATGGGCCATCTGACCAATCAGAGCAGAGTAGACCAATCACAACAGACTGGGTCATCTGACCAATCAGAGCAGAGTAGACCAATCACAACAGACTGGGCCATCTGACCAATCAGAGCAGAGTAGACCAATCACAACAGACTGGGTCATCTGACCAATCAGAGCAGAGTAGACCAATCACAACAGACATGGGCCATCTGACCAATCAGAGCAGAGTAGACCAATCACAACAGACTGGGCCATCTGACCAATCAGAGCAGAGTAGACCAATCACAACAGACTGGGCCATCTGACCAATCAGAGCAGAGTAGACCATGTAGAGACAGAATCCTTTATCAAACTATTTCAGGCACTGTGAGAAAAAGGTGATGCTGCAATGTAAATTATGAGAAAATTAAAGTGTTTTTGACCTTGCATGTAAAACTATTGTAGGAGTCCAAACCAAAATTAGGAACCTTCAAAATAGCATAATAAGTGCACTTTAGTATATCTAAATTGGTAAAGTGTTGTTTAGAGGAATTGCAAAGCTGGAGTATTTTGGATCAGTGCAGTTGTCTAGAATGGGTTTAAGGATGATCTCTGATAAGCTAATGTATGCCAACACAGCCATGCAAATGTGAGCTTTCTGATGAAGCGCTTGCATTGATCCAGACTGTTAGAGGTCTGCATGCATCAGTGCATTTACTGCATGCAGTCCAATCATTCGCTTGCATTCACTTTCACTCCGCTTTAAATACCCATATAAATCAACCGATGAATAACGACGCAGTCAGCAAAGCCGACCGCTGAACTGTAGCAGGACTCGGTTTCCAATCAGTCAGTGGGAAAAAGTGCTGAGGTCGTGAGTGCGTACTTGTGCATCTGACATTGACTCTTCGGCTCATGTGATTCTGTTTTTGTTTTTTCAGTTTGCTATTTGTCAGCGGTGACCCTGGCCTGCCTGGTCAACCTGTTCATGCTCATGAGGTCCATGGTCTTGCACAGGTGATACAAAAAAAACTCACATCCTAATCTATCCCAGTTAACTATGCAGAAACAAATATATGCAAGTAGAAGCAAGTAAACCAGGTACATTTTATAAATAGAATTTGGAGTCAGAATTGGACATAAAAGACTTCGGAAGTTTCTGACGTCAAAATTAACTTTATGATTGCTAATTGATTTCCATTTATACATTTATTTATATATATATATATATATATATATATATTTATATATATATAATATCTTTTTTTCTTTTTTTTTACTCAATTCCAACTTTTTAAATTCAGCAACAAATTGTCGAATTAAAATAGAATAAAATATTTCTTCAGAATTTCCTTTTAAATATATTAAATCAAATGTATATTAGCAAAAAATACAAAACAATTGTAACTTATTTTTTATTTAATATTATGAATATTAAAATAAATATATAAAAAAAAACATATATATATATATATATATATATATATATATATATATATATATATATATATATATATATATTAGGGCTGTCAAATGATTAATCGTGATTAATCACATCCAAAATAAAAGTTTTTTTTACATAATATATGTGGGTGCACTGTGTATAATTATTTTATATATATAAATACACACATGCTTGTATATATTTAAGAAATATTTTCATGTATATATTGTATATAGATTTATATATAATTTATATAAATATAAATATTTTATATATAAATAAATTTTTTTTTTAAATATACATGCATGTGTGTGTATTTATATATATATATAAAATAATTATACACAGTGCACCCACATATATTATGTAAAAAAACCTTTTATTTTGGATGTGATTAATCGTGATTAATCATTTGACAGCCCTAATATATATATATATATAAATATGTATGTATTTAATCATAAATATTTGTATTAATACATATTTATGTATTTAACATTAAATATTTTAAAATGTTTTTTGTTTTGTTTTATATTAGTTAATTTAATGTGTATGTATAAATGTATAACTCTAATATGAGAGCACCAGTTTACCCGATTTATGTATTTTATGTATGTAAATGTATTTTTACATATTTATGTATTTAACAATAAATATGTATGTGTTTAATATTACATATTTATGTATTTAGCATGAAATATTTTAAAATGTTTTTGTTTTGTTTTATATTAGTTAATTTAATGTGTATATGTATAAATATATAACTGTAATATGAGAGCACCAGTTTACACGATTTGACGCATTTCCTGTTCTTTCTTTTTTTTATTGGTCATCATGCACGTTTGTGAATGCACTGCTAATAATTTCATAACTGACTGCTTCTATTATGAATAAGAGCTAGCTGGGGGTGAAACGGGGAGAAATCATTTACTAGGCTAATGAGAGAGAGGTAATTACAGTCAGGAATACCAGATTAAAAATAATGACTTTTCAAATTGAGTTTTTAGATGTCGTTAATGGCAGTTTGACTCCCTGACATGCAATTCCATTTAAGTTCCTTCTTGATGAAGAGACGTCCCCATTACAGGCATTTCCACAGATGCTGCGTGTCTATTAAAGCTCTGAGTGGTGTCTCTGTGTTGACTCAGGTCGAACCTGAAGGGCCTGTACAGAGGAGACATCTTCACTGTGTATAACTGCCACAGGAGTATCCGGCCGTCTCGACCCGCGCTGGTCTGCTGGATGGGCTTCACCAGTTACCAGGCCGCCTTCATCTGTCTCGGTGAGGACACGTTTCTCCACTGTATTGAACCAAACTCCCTCATTCTCAAGGTATAAAAGTGTGAGAATAAATAATTCGAAAGATAATATATAATATACATTTTTTTAAGACTGACAATAAAGCTTTTATTTACTTTATTATTATAAACCTGCTAAATGGAGCCAAAATTTGACTGCTGTAAAACAAAAGTATATATATATTTTCTTTTTTATTATTGATTGAATAAATACATAAATAAAAATAAATAAATAAATACAAATTAGATAAATACAAAAAATACAAAAAAAATAATCAATCAATAATAAAAATAAATATTTTGAAGTGGATCAAACATTTGAAGTGGACCAAGAAAAATTGATCAAAGTTGTCCTAAGACAAGAACAGGTATTGTTTAAAATTCATGTATAACTTTGAAAGGTTTTGATCCACTTATCTTTTTTTTTTTTTTTTTGATTGATTGATTTTTTTTTTTTTTTATGTATTTGTTTAAATTTATTGATTTTTATTAATTTATATTCTTTTACTTTTCGGTTTGTTTATTTTTTATAAAGGCACTCAGTTCTGGGTCATTCCGGGAATTTGTTCCGAACTTTTCTCTGCATACACGGCTTTGAAATATAATTTCTCCTCCCATCTCATATTTTTACCCACCAACATGTCCCTTAAGGGGCTCCGTACTTCGTTCATCTGGAAACAATAAAAATCCAACATACATGGAGAAAGTTTTGATAAAACAAATTTCTTTAGATTAATGTGCACATCGAACAAAAGACCAGCAACACTTAAGAAAGTAAAAAGGGTGGGCTTTATGTTGCTTTTAAATAAATCAATTAATAATACACACTGTATAAATATAATATTATAAGCATCATTTTATTTATTTTTCAAATGAACTAGTATCCTGTATATGAGCATGTCTGATGTGCGTCTGTGTCCAGGCATGGTGATCCAGACTCTGGTGTTCTTCATCTGCATTCTGTTCGCCGTCTTCCTCATCATCATCCCTGTTCTCTATGGAACGAATCTCATGCTCTTCCATATCATCGGCCGCATGTGGTGAGTGGCCTTCACTCGGCGCACTCTAGGTCATGACGGTGACCTTGAGAAAGCTCAGGGTCGTGACCTCGTGAGCCAGGAATCTCTGCTATCAGTCGTCTCTCATCATAAGCTGAGCTATTAGAGAAGGAAGGGCCTCTTAAGAGGGTTCTCACGTGCATGTTTTCTTTGCTAAAGGCCTTTCTGGTTGACGCTGCTCCTGGCTTCGCTGATCCAGCACGTGACGTCCAGGTTTTTGTTCATCAGGAAGGATGCAGGGACGAGAGATCTGAACAACAGGTGCGAATTCATTTTACGACACAGCCAAAACACCTGGCTCTTACTGGTTATTGCTTTTAATGTCTACATACACCATCTGGCAGGCCATGACTGACTAGCCAACAATAAAAACCTCTACCGTTCTGTACATCATTGATTCTGAGCAACAGAAATTTAAGATACAGATGTTCAACGCCGTTTTATTTTTGCGACATCGTTGTTACTAATAACATTTAAACGCGTTAAGTCGTTAAATTTAAATTTATATTCGTGTGTGCGTATGTGTAATTATGTATTTCAATTGTTTATTACTTTCCTTTATTTTATTATATTATATAAAATGATCAGTTGTATATAATTATATATTACATAATATATTATTTGTATTATGACATACAGTATATTATATTTATTACTTATTTTATGATATAAAATAAAATTATCTGTTATGTTTACCAATTATCTTTATTATATTATGACTGAAAAATAAATAGAAGTAATATTATATTTATATTAGGGCTGTCAAATGATTAATCACGATTAATCACATCCAAAATAAATTTTTTTTTTACATAATATATGTGGGTGCACTGTGTATAATTATTTTGTATATATATAAATACACACACATGCATGTATATTTAAGAAAAAAATATTATTTATATATAAAATATTTATATTTATATATAATATAAATTATATATAAATCTATATACAGTATATACATGAAAATATTTCTTAAATATATACAAGCATGTGTGTGTATTTATATATATAAAATAATTATACACAGTGCACCCACATATATTATGTAAAAAAAACTTTTATTTTGGATGTGATTAATCACGATTAATCATTTGACAGCCCTAATTTATATATATTTAATAATACATATTCGATCATTTTATTTTAGAAATAAACATAATGTGTGTGTGTATGTATATATATATATATATATATAAATAAAATTATATTTTATTTTTTGTGTGTGTTTAATACTTTATTACTTTTATTATCTAAAATCAAAAGAACAAATGTATATACAGTAAATTTATTTTTATAATACAAATTATATGTGGTGTTTCTCTACAGAGGGAGTCTGTTTCTTCTCAGCTACATGTGTTTCCTGGTTAATGTCATGGTTGGTGTGATAGTGGGCATCTGGAGGTTAGTGATCACTGCCCTGTTCAACATAGTCCACTTAGGACGCCTGGACATCAGCCTTCTGAACCGCAGCGTGGAGGCCTTTGACCCAGGTACTGCTGCATTCATGTTTGACCCAGGTACTGACCCAGGTACTGCTGCATTCATGTTTGACCCAGGTACTGACCCAGGTACTGCTGCATTCATGTTTGACCCAAGTACTGACCCAGGTACTGCTGCATTCATGTTTGACCCAAGTACTGACCCAGGGTTTACAGCAGGGGCGGACTGGCCATCTGTGTGATCTGGAGAATCACAGAACGGCCGGTACTCCAGGACGGCCGGCGGGCCGGCCCACCAGCCGCCACACACATCCCAAGTCTCCCGCATTTGATAGCGGCTCCCTGATGTCCGCAAATTAGTTAAAATCTCCCGGAATCTAGAGCGAGCAAGAGCGCGCATGCGTAGCGCGTGCACGGCAGAGAGAGAGGGAGCGAGAGATTGCGTGTGTGTGCTAGTGTGCGCGTGTGTGCTAGTGTGCGCGTGTCCCTCACGAAGCGCATGTAAGGACCCAACCAATCAATTGTCAGTGCGGGCGGGCTTTTATCTCTACTACTCCCGAACCGAATTAATCAGAAATTACTTTGCAAGTTACTTGCTAGGGATGATGTTAGGAAGTGATATTCAGCTTGCTACATTTTTAATGATTACAGTAGTTAAAACAGCTAAACTTCAACATTTTAGCTGTAAAATGCCACATGCAGTTGCTAATATTTAGAAATATTTTGTGCTTTTACTTTTAAAAATGTTGGTAATGTTACAGTTAATGCTTACAAACTTTGAAGATTTTGAATACAGAAGTTACATTTGTAATGGTGTATTTTCATTTAGATGTGGTATTATTATTTGTGCAGTAGCTAAGATTAATTACTGCATAAACTAATTAAGATTATTAAGTAATAAATTCATTTTAAGACAGCATGGAATAGATTGTATAATATGCTGTTAGCTATAATTTGGATGGTATAGTATCATGAGCCACAGTTAAAGTGACACTCATGGCAGGCGTTATTGTTGTTGTTGTCGAGTTTCCGCGCGCCGATTGCTTTGGGCCGGGCCTAGTCAAAGTCCAGGGCCGTTTTTTAGTCCCAGTCCGTCCCTGGTTTACAGCAAATCCAATCGATTGCATTTAGAGAATAAAAGTAACTACATGATAGAAGACAGCACTGCATAATTACTTTTTATATATTTTATAGAATTAAAAAATATTTATCTAATTATATAAAATATACATAATACAACACTATTAGTTTTATTTAAGCCTAACTTCGTCCTGGGTCCCCCAAGACGTAATCAGTGTCCCACATTTCAATTATGTCTGTATTATTTTATTTCTACCCTGAAATTGCAATACCACAATAAGAAGTATAATACTAAAAAAAAATCCGATTGGTGTTAAAAAAATGCATTTACTGCTTCTAGACACGTACTGGATAACATCCTGATTAAACCTGCCAGATCCAGCAAAACATTCAAGTTCAACATGCACTGAATCCGGTAGAAACGCATTTATTGTTGGTGTAGTGTAATAAAAGAAAATAAAGTAGTCGCTACTTAAGGAAACGCAGTGTATTTTAGTATAAAATATGTTTTTTACCTCTACTAGCCTGTTATTCAGTTCATTATATTTACTAGACTGAATAGGTCCCGTAGAGTAAATCTCATGGTATCACGCGAACCTGGGCAAATTGACTGCCGGTCACAATTAACACCGCTTATTGATGATTTGAAACGTTATCATCCAATATTTACATAGTATAACGTCCTGAAAAATCACATCTACTGTCCTGCACCAGAGCAAGGTGGTCACCCTATTTAACCCGGATTTGTAGTTATGCACATAGAAATATCAGATGTAACTACTCCTACCATATACTGTATTTCTGATCAAAGTGCCAGACTGAACGTCCGATGCGAAACCCCCTCAGATGTGGGCTGTGAGTGTCATTTGGTTGTCTCTCTGCAGGATACCGGTGTTACGCTCATTACCTGAAGATTGAGGTCAGCCAGTCTCACCCCGTGATGAAGGCCTTCTGTGGACTCCTGCTGCAAACCACGGGCCAGGACAATCTCTCCGCACAGAGGATTCGAGATGCTGAAGAAGGTCTGTGCTTTTCTTTCTTTATTACTTCAGTTCATGACTGCGATATGATTACATATCATTCGCTTTGAGAGAGTCCGCTCGCGAACTCCAAGCTTTTAGACTCATTCGTTTAGAACTGAGGATGTGGTCAGTGTTTTGAGCCTGTTTTGAGCCTGTCCTGTGTTCATTTCATTTGAGTTTTGACAGTGAGTGTGTGGAAACTGTACATTCCTGGCCACTTTACTTTAAAAAGCATTGAGGGATTTCAAATAGGTATGCAGATATTTTTTTTTTTTTTTTTTTTTTTTTTTTGGTATTGAATAATAACTGATAGTTATTTCATACTTTAAGTGATAACCAGTTCTATAGACAGAAGTTAATATCAAAAAAACATACATTTCAGACACAATATGGTCAGCAGTTTTTGCACCACCTATTATTTATACTTATAACTACCATAAAAATAAATTACATAATTTAAAAAAATATATAATAATAATAATAATAAAAAGGGAAATGTGAAACAGTACTTTAATTATATATGTATGTATGTGTGTGTGTATATTAGTGCTGCACGATTAATCGTATCGCAATCGTAATCGCGATGTCAAACCTATGTGATTATATAACGCAAAATGCCGCGATTTTATATGAAATAAACAAATTAGGGCTATTAACACCGCATCTCTTCTTTTTTGTCATCCTTTAGTGTTACATGATCCCGCTCTTATTCGTGCAAATGCCTAAAAACCATTTTGCACGACAAGAAGTCAAAAGAGAGCGCGCTGCCTGTGAATGTCCTGAATGTGACTCACAGAAAAACGCGCGCCAGTATAATGCGCATGCACAGACCGGGTGCCAGAATACAGTTCTCTTTCGAGCTTGAACGAACAATAATACACACAATTATGCCAAAATGTCGTTTTGTCGATTATCTTCATAACATAAGAGCAGTCTTATGATGGACGAAAAGAGTTGTGCTTGTGAGAGAATGAGGCGCGTGTGAGATTCGCGTCTCAGCAACGGCTGCTCTTAAAGGGCCAGCAGCGAATAAAGCGTTCTGTCAATAAAGTTAATCAAAGAACAAAGGGAACAGAAAATTACTCACTGCTCTTGACTAAAGAAGTTTTGTAGCTTTAATAAGGATTAGTCTATATATAATTTATAATTCATGCAGCACAGACTGTTTGATAACTTTATTCAATTTCTGTATATAAATCTGTATATAAATCCTCAATCCTACTTGTTAAGACAGGAAGAGCACAGGTAAATATGGCATTTATTATGGGTTTATGTGAGGATTGTTTGAAGTTCACTTAATTTAAAAGCTGTTTTTTTTAAGCCTTGAATAAATATTTTAAAAGTTGATAGCTTTCAATTATATTGATGGAATCACTGTAATGTTGGATGGCTATAATTAACGTTTAAAATGTGGGGGGTGTCGTCATTTTTACATCAATGGCTTATTGATCATTGATGTAAATACACATTAATACACAGAGTTGAGAAATACACATTAATACACAGAATTATCACTAATCTGTGTGTGCATTTTACTTTAGAACCAAGCAAGTTGACTCATGAAACCATTTGTTTATTATATCGCAATCGCAATATTGACCTCATTAATCGCAATATGACATTTTCCCCAAATCGTGCAGCCCTAGTGTATATGTATTATGTATATATATATATATATGTATGTGTTATGTTTACCAGTTCTGTTTATTGTGTTTGGCAGTTTTTTATATAAAATAAAATAGTTGTATTATATATTTACATACACACCAATTCTATTTTTGCACAACCACCTATTATTTATATTAATGTTTTCCGTAATTATAAATTAAATTAATAAATTGATCAAATAAATTACATCAATTAAATAATAAAAAATAAAAGTAAAACACTACATATATGTGTTTGTTTTATTTGTTCATACATGCAGACTATAAACAGATTGACCTCCCAGTACCCAGTAGTGTTCAGACTAATACCATCTTTAAAAGAACAAACTAATTTCATCTTTTTAATGCATTTCAAACAGAAAGCAGTGCAAAATGATGTTAGATCATCTGTGTCAAATCTCTGACTGAAGCCAAGATTTATATTGATCCATGTTTGATTTCTCCTGGGTGATTCATGTCTATATGCACAGCCGGCTGGTTGGCCTTGTTTTTAGAATAATTGATTCATCGTGTTGCCTCGCACGCAGCAGGCGAGCGTTCCCGCAATGATTAAATTTGTCAGGATAAATTGGGCCCTGATGTGCAATAACTCACCTCGGCCCTGCTACTGCTCAATCAGACCTGTCATAGACACAGAGTACACTTCTCGTAGTGTGAACATTCACACTTCTTTCATATAGCTGAGCGGAGATGCCATTAGAGCTTTCTGTGTGTCTTATAAAGTCAAAGCTGTTGGAGCAGGACGGATCTCAGCTTTAGGGTTTTGCAGGATGATAGGCAACAGATGGTGTATATTCCACTATTCCACATTAAAAAAACCTGTCTTTTGTTGATTTTACACCTACAAGATGTGATGCTTTTTGCATACAAAAAAACTGTAGGAATAATATTTGCTTGTTTGCATTTGCATACAATAATTATTATCTGAGAAAAACTGGTCTGTTACACCGACTGAGCGCTGTTATTGACCGTCTCATATGTGTGGCTCACAGTTCTTACACTCTCCGTATGCTAATCGCACCTCGTATGTTCCAACTGTGAATTAGATGTACATTTCAGACCTCTTCGCTTTCATGCAATTTGCCAGCATTAATGTAAAACACTACATATATATATATGTTTGTGTTTATGCTATTATGACATATCTACAATTAAAATATGGGCAATTAAATATGTAAATATTCATATGCCTGTATATACAATAAGTGATAGAATAATTTTACCTTTAATTTTGCCTTCTTACCTATGTAGTGTGGTAAGATGGCTTCTTTAAATAATTTACATTTTGTTCTATAACAACTAAATTAGCAAATGTTTCTATTAATTTCCTAAAATAATCATCCAGCACATGCTAGACTTATATCTAAATGTATAACAATTAGAAAGTTAGCATTCAGACGCCAGGTATAATTTATATTTTTTTACTAGTGGGTGCAGGACACTAACGTTCATTTGTGTAAGTGAGGATAGCAAAATAAAGGAAACGGTGACATATATTATACCCAAATATTCTTCATACAGTAGACTATCAGTAAAATGTAGAAAAATTTGGGACAAAAAATTATTCAGACACTTTGATCTGACCATATTTTGCTTAAGTGTTTTTTCTTTAATTGCTAATGCGACCTTTTTACACCACAGACTGAACACAATTAGCATTGCTTGGTAATTGGTTGACCTAAACTTGTATTATCTAATTGTGTATTTAAATCTAACAGCTGACAGATATTCAACCGGATTCATTTGTGAGATAGTCTAACAGAAGAATGGACAAAACCAGTGAAATATCAACTGATTTGATAACACTGAGTTCTTGTCATATTTTATTACCATTTTCTAAACTATAGCGAAAAAACTGTGATAATGTGAGAAAATGTTGAAGGTGTTTGAATAAATTTTGGTTTGACAGTGTATGTGTGTGTGTATATATATATATATATATATATATATATATATATATATATATATATATATATATATATATATATATATATATATATATATATATATATATATATATATATATATATATATATATATTAGTATTATCAGTAATCAATTAAATGGACTATTTAATACGTTGACTTAACCTCTTTCATAATGTTTTGTATTCAACATTTAAAGGTATTCAATTGGTCCAGCAAGAGAAGAAACAGAACAAGGTGTCCAACGCCAAGCGGGCACGAGCGCACTGGCAGCTCCTCTTCACGCTGGTCAACAACCCGTCCTTGGTGGGCTCCCGAAAGCATTTCCAGTGCCAGAGTTCAGAAAGCTTCATCAACGGAGCACTCAACCGGACCTCTAAGGAGGGCAGCAAAAAGGAAGGCAGCATCCAGGAGCCGAGCAAGGAGGCCGAAAGCGCCGCCACCAACAACTGAGGACTGGACATCACAATGTGGAGAAGGAGGACCCCCCCCCCATCCCCCCCACCCTCTCTTAATGGCTGCTGGCCAGATATTGATGATAGTATTATTTGCTTTGGTGTAGCAGAGAAGCACATGTGTTTTAGCTAAGTGCACTTACAGCTCAGTGCCTCAGGAAGAACTCCAAGCAGTTGTAGTTAACGGATACTTTGCATGTGTGTGGATGTGTGGATGGATGGATTGTGTCTTTTGTTGCATGTCTGAGTGAGACTGTCTTTCCTTCTTGGACTTAGCATATCAGGAAATCTAGTTTGGCACTGAACTCCCATCTAACCGCTTGATGCGAGGTTAGTATGTGTGACTATTTATGAATGTACAGGTTCTGCTCTTTGGCAAAACTGATGAATTATTAATTTCCACTCATTTTTGCACTCATTGGTGTGACTTTTACCAGTGGTGAGAATGTTCTTATATTAAACAAACAGATGAAACCTATAATGTCCATTATGGGTTGAGCTGTATCTGTTCTTTTAAGACAACATAATTGCATTGCAATATTTTTTTCATCTCTGACTAAATATAAACACAATCTGTCTCACTGTTACATTTGACACTTCATTTTGATAGTCCCCTCTATTGTGTCTTTTTCTGCTACCTATGGCATATTTGTGATTTATGAAATTAAATAAATATTAAAACTTAAAAAATCTGTTCACTGTGTTGAATTAAGGGAAATGGTGCCCTCTCCCGCGTCGCGTAAATGATTTCATGTTCAGTTAAAAAAAGAAAAATGAGAACAATTCGAATTATAATATAGCCTACTCTCACGAATATTGTTATGCATTATTTATTTTCCTTGCGGCAATTTTAAACATTCTAAAAAGATTTTCGTTCGTTATTCAAACGTATGATTTGTAGAGTAATTGAATATTTAAAATAAGGTGTGAGCAAAACCACACCGAAATCACATTATTCCTTTGTTCTGCCCTTCAGTTTTCTCAAGCAAATTAATTCAGTACAATATCAATATCCATGACGAAAAAAAAGGCTTCTAAAAATGGGATAAATTAGCCTATTTCGTGGATTTAAATGCGTTTAATATAGCTATAGGCTATAATGTCCTATAGGATGCAGGCTCATATTTATTTTCAAATATTCGTTTTAGAAAAACAAAAACTAAATGTACCATACCTTAATCGGGTAGGGCTACTTTGTTCATTTTGAGAATAAAAACAATATATATATATAGGCTACAGTGAGTGTTTTACCTGTTCCCCTTTCGCACGGCGTTTCACAGGACAAATCATAATTTGAAGAGTGCTTGCTGGATATTGAACAGTCAGTTGGGTGGGTTGTGTGAAAAGCTTGTCCACATTTATATAGGCTAAAAAAAAAACACTTTTCTATGTTTGCAAATAATTTCCAATACATTCGTTCGTTCAGTATTTTATTAAGGTCACGTAGGCCTACATAAAATCATATCAAAATCTTTAAAAGGTTTGAGCATTTTTACAACATCATTGGACAGCTGGACAAGAAACAAGCCACTACGTCAGTTTACTGGACACTCGATGTCGTGTTGACATGGTAAAAACGGACCATTTATATTTATAAAAAAAAAGAGAACAGTTTCTCAGATTACTTGGCTTACATCACAAATCGACATTGAATATCTACAGTTTATAGTACCCTAATAAAACACACTTGAAAATACTTTTGTGTGACATGCCACGAATAAAGGCTATCTCAAATAGAAGAAAGGACACGTTCAGTCAATTCGTAAAGGCGAGAGATATTTTAAAGCACCCGGTCGCAAAGATATTAAAAATCACACACGTATGTTGGATTCATTACACTTAACAAACTTTTTTTCCAAGGTGACCTGGTTCGTTTTCCAGACACACACATGCTGTGAAAAGAGTAACAGGGTGACATTTCCCTCAGAAGCGCTCGATGTTTGTCCACTATATCGATTACTTAAAATGGATGCTACTTGACAATGAAAGTGACGAGACTCACGAAAAGTGAATTGTAGCTATTATGAGGGTTTTTTTGAAGATAGATTTACGTCCAGTCCACTGGATAAATTTCAAAACCCTATTTGTAATAATGAACACTCATCGTATGCACACTGATAGACAGTGATAACTTGCTGAGGTAAAAAAAAGGAGCGCGCATTTATCAGTGCGCGTCTATAGGCTATATAGACCTTATTCACAGCGGCGCCATCTTCGATTTTTAACGGACATTCAAGCGAGGCTTTGAGGGATAGATATCTCTTCAGTTGGTTGTACTGTTCTGTAATGTGTTTTTTATTGTTCTGCTGACGAAAAAATGCAAAAATATATTTGCAAGAAATTCAAGTAGACAAATAACTGAGCTGTGGAAAATTATAAGTGATCTAGGAGCTTTATGCAGCTTTTTACAGCGGATGCTAGTGAAAACACTGTAAGTCTATCTCTCACTGCCCCGCTTTCATACCTGCCATGGCGCAGCTCTGAATAAAGTCTATTACGTGAGATGACAGTCCGTATTCACCTGGTTTGTATTGTGTTTCAGAGCAAATGAAGAATAAACATCTCAACGGGGTTGTTTGTAATTACCATTGATCTCCGCAGATATGTTTACCGCTTCAGCCCCAAGTGGCAACCGATCGCTGTACTCAGATCCAGCTTCAAAATCCTCCTGGGTTTTGGATTGTGACTCGGGAATGGACTCGGTCACCACACTGCCCTCGACGTCCTCACCTTCTCCGTCCTCGCCATCAGCCTCGCCTTCGCCCTCTCCCAGCTCACTCGGGTCAAAGTTCTTCTCAGATCCCACAAAAGACGCCCTGGGGTCGAAATCCGTCGCTATGTGCTTTTCCATCTGATCTGGGTTTTGTGTCTTCATAATCAACTTGTAGGTCTTGCCTTGATACTTGTAGAGCAGATGACAGCAGGTGGCTCCCAGCAGGGGCACGGTTGCCAAAGCTAGCAAAAAAATGCTAACGACCACTATAATTAGCAAAGATGGGATTTTCTTCCGGGTTGTGAAGACCACTTGGACTTGACAGTCCTGGCCTCCATAGGTGAGGCACAGGGTGTAATTAGTGCCTGGCTTGAGGCCCTGAAAGCGATAGGCGTTGACACCCTCCTCTATCTTGGACCACTGCACCACTGAATGTCCATTACCAGTACTGACGCAAAGGTACAACATGTCCAGGGGTGACTTTTTGGTGGACGTCTGGAAAAGGCTAAAAGGCTCCTTATTTACAGTTTGGAGGTCTTCTTGTTGACTGAGGTGAATGTTTGACTTTGCATTGGCCATCTGGAAAGGGTTCAGCTGAACTTTGGCCTCAGTCTCTGAAACCTCCAGAGCGATCACCCCAAAATCAAACGTGTACTGTTTGAGTTCGTCCAAGCTGAGATTGAAAGCATGGTTGGAGATGTACTGCGTACCATCATTTATTCCGCATTTGCCAACAAATGGCAAATTATCGGCCCCTTCTTCCACTCGCTCTCTATCCCTCGCAATAAGAGATGTTCCGGTTGGAAGGCTCTTTGTCTTCTCCTCAGATTTGGACCACATGCTAATAACGCTGTTTTTGGAGCCTTTTGAACCAAGTTTGTCTTCTGGTAAATGGCTAGGTGCTTTTGTGTCGAGCATCGAATTGATGGCATGCTTTTTGGTGCCTGCGACAACAAGTCTCACCGAGCGCTCGGCTTTTCCCATGTCGTTGACAGCAGAGCAGGTGTAGTTGCCGTCTTCTTTCTTGCTCATGCGAGGGATGATCAAGGTGCCGTTTTGAAACACAAGGAACCTGGTGTTCGTAGGCGGCCCATTAACCGGAATCTCAATTTTTTCGACAATGGCGGGTAAAGGGAATGTAATTAGTTGGTTTCCAGCGTATATCTCCCATGTGACGTCAGGTTTAGGGGTTCCTTTTGTTTCGCAGTATAGCATGACCAAATATCCCTCATAGAGTTCAGTTTTTTCGATGTTTGGCTGATATGTGATGGACACGGACGGAGCCTTGCAATCCAGTTTGGGCATGCTAGTGACCTGTGTACCTTTGAGGTGGGAAGGAGCATCACAGACAATGTTGTTTGGATCAGGGATTGAGATTGAGGATTTGGTGATCCAGTCCCTAAGCCACTCAAGGTTGCAGGAGCAGATGAAGGGGTTGTGGAAGATTTGGAGGTGGGACATGGCAGTCAAAGCATCAAACGTCCCCTGCACGATGGTGGTAAACTTGTTATTGTTAATACGGACCGAACGCAGGTCCTTCAGGTTGGAAAAGGCATTCTTGGGGATGCTGACCATCTCGTTATTGTTCATCTTTAACAACTGCAGGGCAGTGAGATTGGTCAAGTCCTCCCATGGAAAATGCACAATTTTGTTGTGGCTAATATCCAAATTTCTCAGCTGGATCATCAGAGCCAAGGTGTCCCTCTCGACGGTGACGATTTCATTGTGAGCCAGCCAAAGAGAGGTCACCTGGGTCACATTTATAAAGGTTTTGGATTTCAGCACTTTAATCTTGTTAGCTGAAAGACTCAGGGTGGTCACATTGGACGGCAAGCCCACAGGTACTTCCAGAAGTTCTTTGTAGGCACAATCTGCAAACTGGTGGTTATATTTATCAGAGCAGGTACACTGCTCAGGGCAACAGTGCGCACTGCCAATCACTGCAGTCCCCAAGGCAATAAGCATCAGGTATTTGGTTGCCATTTTCAGCTCCTGCCAAGCACACATGAAGGTGCAGATTAGTACAAATTATTTATGTATTTTTCACACTCAAAGAACAAATGTGAATGAAAGAAGTCATTTAAAGTTAACTATTGCAAACTATTATGATGATAATAAAAAGCACTTGATGCTATCATAGTGTCAAGCAAATATATTTTGAAGTGTTACCAAAAACTAAATGCTTTTATTATTATTATTATTGATTACACTTTATTTGTTAAGTTTATTTTAGTGTCATTGTTAGATATGTTACATGCACTTACTCTAGTAATAACAATAAATTATGCATCATTGCAAGCGCAAACCAAACCTTAATCCTAACCCTATAGTAAGTATATGTAGTTAGTTAATATTACTCAGTACTTAAATGTATAATTACAGTGTAACAATACTACTTAAAATACAGTGTAACCCTTTATTTTAAGGTGACATAGTTACATTGTACTTACTCCCATAAGAACTTAGTAATATTTATTAACTACATGTACTAACTATAGGGTTATGATTAGGGTTTGGCTTAGTGGCATGTAATTATGCATACTGTACTGTTATTACTATAGTAAGTACATGTAGTCATGTGTAACTATGTCGCCTTAAATTAAAGTGTTACCTTATTATTTATTCTCTCTTTATTTTATTCTCTTTTTTTTCTTGTGGACTAATTGAGATGTCTGATGTTTTTTTGTTTTTTTTTTTTTTCATCTCGACATCCTCGAGCGTCTTGCTGTTACCGGACGACTGAGCAGCGAAGGCTTGAGAACGTCCCGTTCTTGTACCGTGTTCGCTGTCCAGCGTGCTGAAAACGCGCTTCACTTTATATAATAAAACTTATTTGTGTTGCGAATGTCTTGAACATCTCGAGATATGTAGCGACTGCTTCTTAACCATACAATCCTTACAATTTCGCTGAAAGTTTAAATAAGAAACACTTTTACAGTTTATTTGCTATTGTTTCTGTCTACATTCCGGACAATTG